TACCTCCTGTACTGACTCCAGTCCTTTATTTACATACCCAGCTTTATCTTACAACACCAGGTAAGTGATTGAAAGCTTGCACTCCATTTTACAATGCAATAACAGCCTCTGTAAAATTGAGTCTTGATTGTGGGGTGTTGTAAATCACTGCAGTTTGGCCCACATGCTTGTGCTGCTGGAGGGAGCGTAGTGCAGAATTTGAATGGTCTTAGGGGTGCCAAAGACTTGACTTGTGTTCAAACAGACAGGCGGGCACAGTAAGGGCAGATATCCAGATACAGACAGAAAAAAAGAGGAAACACATACAAAGTAAAATTATATTGTATGCATTTCATTATGCCTGTACGTTTGTCTGAGTTAAATGCTTTATAGGCTTTTCTGCAGCCTTTTTTATTGTTCATTTATATATCACCCTTTTATTACATATGCTTTATTTATTTGGCAATGGACAAAATCCTTTATTGTTCTTCTATTTATCAGGATTAAAATTGGAGAACGTTCCCAGAGGGTTTTTAACAAGGAGGAGGACCGTTCCAATATGTTGGATGAAGGGAGCAAATTAGCCCAGGATAGACGGATGGCCAAGTGAGGCAGAATGGTAATGCAAGGATGAACAGAGCGAGAGAAACCAGACAAGGCAGCAACTCCCTCAGCTGAATGTGAATTTGTGGATAAGATGTACGTCAGCCAGAGACTGAGAGGGGGAGCTTGGCTTGTGTTATGATTATTCTTGTTCTTCAGCATGAATACAAATGGTCTAATTTTTCATCAATAGTCCATGAAGTAAAATTATTAGGAACTGCAATGGTGCTATTAAAAGAACAGCTACTCGCGAGAGCAAAAATTGGTGAGAGTACATGCATCTAGAACAAAATAAGTATCGAAGACATATTTTGTCTCTACAAGTATATTTGTAATTGGCTTTTGACAAAGAAAGCACAGCAGATATTGGTACTGACCCAACAAAATCAAAACACATGAGTTTTTGAATTTTATATAAAAAACTGGAGAGGCAAAATGTCAACCAGCCTTACTTAAATTAGAAGTAAAGCAATTTTTGGTTATGACAGTAAGACTTCTCCATTATTGAGAAAGTAGCTACTTTAATTGTTTAGGTGAGATTTTCAACCAGTTGATTATCTTCAAATTGTGAAGCTTTTTCTCAGATCTTCATTGATTGGCACAAATTTTCTAATATATTGATGGCCTGAACATGCCAGCAGCTTTGTTTTCTTACTTTGAAACCAACATGAATCATCTTGGCTGTGTGTTCAGGATAAATGAATGAATTAATGAACATACTTTATTAATCCCCACAGAGGGAATTCCTACCAGATTTCAGCAATTTTTTGGCCTCCAATGAAATTTTGTACCTATAGCCCAAGTGTTTAATAAATGGTACGTCCTGTGGTACATTTTCAGGCATATAAAATTTGACTATTATAAAACAAGTTAAATGTTTACTGTCACTCTCTTCAGAAAATGAAACTATTACATGAATTCATTACACACAGATTGAAATATTTCAAGCCAATCTATTTCTTGTAGATTTAATGAGTATGGTTGCAGATGACAACAACCCAAGATTTATCTCAGGTCGACTGAAGTTCGATTTTTTATTTTTTTTTAAACAGCAATGTCAAGTTTCCAAAAACCTGTGTGAGTGCATCGCAATAAACATCCATTTCAAAATACATGTTTATATCTATCTATTCAATAGCTGTTTGTGCCTGATGAATTAATGCATCAGTATGGCGTGCACAGATAATCAGTCTGTGGTTCTGTTGAGGTGTCGTGGAAACCCAGGTTGCTTTATTAGTGGCAACCTGGGACCTAAAGGTCATCTGCATTGCTGGATCGGGTGTCTCTTATCTTCTTATTGACAGTACCCCATAGATTTTCTATAGCTGGGGTTTTAACAAAGTGTGGGGAAATATACCCCACTCTCGGAGGACAACTAGACGCCCTGCACCCCACACTAACTACATTACAGCTACTAGTTCTGTAAACTTTATTCTGTCACAATGCTTGTTGTTGCATATGTTGTGGGGTTTACCTGCTTTAGCTATGTGATCCTTCAGTTGCCTTGTCATTTGCAGCACTACAAAAGTCAACTGCTTTCGTCTGTGACCACATTTCACATAGCCTCTTGTCATAAAATGCAAATTTCACCTCCATTTGAAAACAGTACTTTGGCTAATAGTTCAGTTCTTTTTCTGCTTTGCTCCGATAAGATCCTTCTGACATAGTCTCTGGTTCATGACTGACTTAACATTTACAGGTCATGTCAAGGTCTCAAATTTAGAAGAAAGAAACACTTGAAATCAGTCACTGTGTGTAATGATCCAATACATGTCATTAATTTTCTGGAATAAATGACAAAGGACTAATACTCAAAATGTTTGAGCTGTAAGTATAGGTTAATTTATAGGCAAATTTGTTTTGCCATCTTTGTATGTGTGAACTACTTAGGTTTTTCTCAAAAGCACCAAGTGGCAGAATCAGTGAATTTAGCATCAAGAACCTCTTCACAAATATAGTAAAAGAGACAAAAGACAACATTTAAATATTTTCCCCCCACAATACATTTTCACCACAGTAAAATTAAGTAGAAATAGAAGGGTATCGTATCTAATACAATACAAGTTATTCACACTCACCAGAAAAATACAAAAATCTGATGGATAATTTTAGGAAGTCATGGCCAACTCTGTCACGCATGCATTAGTTGCAGTTCTGCAGCAAAAAATGCTACTGGGACTATATTGTGTCTTCAGCGATGCTCTGCAAACAGCATTAGATGCGCTCAGTAAAGAATAGACTTGTCACATTTTCAGTGAAGCTAGTCTAGCACAACAGATTGGAGACCAAGTCACTGTGTATGCATGCACAAACTTGCCAGACAAAGGGATTGGCACTTGTCAGCAATTTTATACATACAAAGGGGGTTACATACAGACACACGTGAGCCTACTTGAAGGAGGACAGAGCTGTGCATGCACGAGCCGTGTATATACACAGAGTCAGGTTGAAAATCAAGACAGTTTGGCTGCAGTTGCAACAGCTTGCCCTGGGCATGAATAAAGAAACACCTGTGTGTGTCAAAGTGGTGCCATGGCAACACTTCCTGATATGTGATCCAGGCCAGCATGAGGAGGGTCTTTTTTTTTGAGAGAGGAACCTGTTGGCAAGGAGGAAGGACCTTTTCTGCAAACACTTGAACATCTAGAGAAAACCATTTATTTACAGAATCCGATCTCTCTCTGTCCCATGTTCAGTTGAAAATATTTATATATAAAAAACACTGTAAAAACATATGTAAAATAATAGTTATCTGCTTCAGTTTGTGTAGAAAATAAAACTTTTAAATTACCTTAGCAATAGCTGAGAAATACAAACAGATATTGAACAGGTGCATCTTAATTACTGCCAGGATTTTAACGTGTTAATTTTGATCAATTAATTATGTAGATTTTAAATAGTCTAACCATTTTATAAGAACAATAAATATTTTTTTGTTGTTGAGCTTCTCTGTCTATTCAGTAATTTAGCAACTGAAGGGTTTTTGAACTGAAAATGGTGTTTGTTTAATCAATGGATAGTTTTGATTTAAAACAATAACACAATTAACTCCATTAAATGTTTTAATCTTAATAAACTAGAATTACATAAAAAATAAACTGTATCTATTCGCTACACAAAAATTGTATTCTGACAGCGAATTTAAACCCCCAAAGCATGGGTATGTAATAAAACAATATGTATTCTGCTTCATTTTCTTGAATAGGCTTTGCTTCACAACCTTCCCAAGGCTGTGGTTATCTTACTTGCTTGAGCATCATTTCCCACACTTTTTCCTTACACTAAACTTTCCAATAACATGCCTGACTGCAGCCCTGTTATTGTTATCTTCAGTAATTACATTTTGTGTTTTATCTTCATGTCAGTGATTATCTGCTTAACAGCCACTGTGGAAACAACATGATCATAGCATTTCTTCACAAATTACACTTTGATCAAATTTTCTTTAAGACATTTTTTGAGTAACCTATACTCATTGAAATAATAATAAATATTGCTTAATCTACTTTACTACCAATCAATAAGTCATATTGATTATTAGCAATCAATATGAGTCATTTATTTATTTTATTTATTTTTTTATTATTAACTTCCAAATCAACTTTTTGATATTCCAATTTACATAGATGGAGACATTCAAGTGAAGTACAAATCGAGTGTCATTATTATTGAAACTGAGTGTAAATCAAAGGCTTTGTGATGATACAAAACATCAGGCTTTCATCACCTGCCCTACAGTGGCAACATAAGAGAAGGGCTGGGCTACATCAAGGGTTTTGATTTAGATTCAGACTTAAGCTGTTTCTGTTGCAGCACAAGAGCTGTCTCTCATTCTAATCTTAGCAGCGATCCACCCTGAGCCAGGAATATCCCAAGATAAATATGGAAAGAGAACAATGCGATTGCTGAGCAGCAACTTCGCATTTTCTACACCTCTCATCTCTAATCCTCTTCAGCATCGCTCCTGAACTGCGGCTCCTCATCTGAATGAGCAAGCAGACCTGAGGAACAGTCTGATATTACACTGCTGTGTCTCTTCCTTTGCTATTATCACCATCAACACAGTTTCTGCCCACACCTTAACAAAGGGGTTTAACTACTTACCCTGCCCTTCTAATATCAGCTGCTTCACTCGCTGCATAAGATATTAGCATGAGTCAACCTAGGGTTTAGTGATTTTGACAGTGACTGGATGTTATCAATCTCTAAAGTCAAAAACTCTCCTGATCTGAATATAGATCCTTGGGAACAAGAGCCATCACATTCACTCACATGCAATCCTTGTGAAAATGTTGCTTGGCAGATGGTGATGAGACACGGGCGCTTGATGAGTGCATTTGCAATACAAGAAATCCACAGAGGATTATAAGACAGTGAGATTTTGTTTTCAAAAGAAATCATGCACCGTCTTTGTTCACCGTGGAAAATACCTTCGTCTTCGTCACCGTCGTTTTCCGACAAATCTTCGCCCTGTTTTTTTGCATGGGCCCCTGTTGTTGAAGCAGGGAGAGAAACATAGAGACGTACAAAGAAATTCAAAATAGCATGTTTGGCAAAAAAAGACAAATGGGGGGGGGAGGAGAAGAAGCATTTCATTGATAGCGCCATTTAAAAATGCATAGGAAGAGAACAAAATTCATTTAAATACAATCCAAAGGCACAAGTTCAGTTTTCTACATGAGGCACTTAACTATGACAGAAACATAAATCATTCATTTTGGATACAAATTTAATGGGCTTGCAGTGAGTCATATAAGAACACAGCCTTTAAAATTTGATTTATATGAAACTAACCTGTTAATGCAGCATAATTCATCTCAGAGTCATACAACACTGACATTTTCAGAAAATAAAGTTTCAAAATGATCGGGGGGTTGGAGAGAAATCACTGTTTGGATGTCATGGAGATTGGATGCTGACTGGTTGAAAAACATAGCTGATAAAACAATATTTTGACTATATTTTGGAATGGCCTGGCCAGAAACCAGACTTGAATCTGTGATGAAAGCTAAAGGTTAGTTTTAGGATGATGGCCAGGACGACTTCTGACCTCAAAGCCTTGGGGCTCATTATCAACGTTAAACCATCAAAACACGAATGGAAACATAAAAAAGCTGATCAACAATTACAATAAATTAAATACCATAATGCAAATACTCTCTCATGTGAATAGTGATGACATAGTACTACAATGTTTCCTTTTATTTTGTTACCCTGGTCAAAAAAATTATGAACTTTTTTTCTCTCTCTCCTTCAAAAAACCTTTGACTATTCACGGGATTTACAAATAACCTTTGAAGGCGTCCTGTACGGTCAGCCAACAAGCCATCTGGAACATTTCTTATACGCCGTTTGGACTGCAGGGAGAGGTTAACTCCTCAGAAATGCAATCAGATGCCATCAGATTGGTATCTGGGAAGGAAAGATAAACCCTTCAGGCAGAGTAATTTTTCCAGTCATTTTCTAAGTTGTTCTCTTGGTTGGTGTTAAGGATACAGTAGTGCTGTTGCCATCTAAGGTTGTGGCTGATCTCTTTGTCTTGGATGCGATGTCAAAGGTACATTAATTTAATCACTGTGATGGGGTAAGTTTTAAGATGAGCAACATTGATTTAACATGTCACCAGCCATCATGAAGTGATGTTATGAATTTTGTCCTTGTGTTGTGGGCTGCAATAATGGAAAATATACCCTTTGAGTCTTTTCTTCACTCATCATTTATAGCTGGTAATGATTCTTTGTTGCCCAACATGAGCAGCTAAAAGGCTTTGGAATATCAATACCAGTTAGTGAGTTGGCTGACTATCAATCCATCTATTCAACAGTCTATCATCTTCTGACAGGACTATAAAGAAATGTTATTTTTGGAGATGACCTTTTATCCAACACCCTGTCAGTTTATATTTTCCACTTGAACAGCGCTTAATACAGTAGATCATAAAGCTGTCGGTGACTTTGAATTTTTCTTCCAGTGCATTCTCAACAACAGCAAAAAGTATGAATCAACATCAAATCTAACAGGCCTATTGACGAAAAAGACTGAGATAATCCTCTCGTTATTAAAAGATGCCTACATGGACTAATATTTTAATAACACAGTTGGGTTTGACCCTTTGCTGCAGCTTAAGTCACTGCTGCTAATATCAATTAAAAGATAATTGAAAACAGTTTTCTCTTGGAAACTCTCGTTGCTCTGTGTTTGAAAATTTCCTCTGCTACCATTGAAATTATTAATTTAACAGCTTGAGGATTCATAATCATCAGGGATGATACCATAAATCACAAAAAGGCTGTTCGTTGGTATAATTTCAGTGACTATGACATGTTCTCTTTCCTAGCACTCAGCTTTTACATATCACCCTGAATGCATACTCTACATTCACAGACTTGTTCTGTAAATCTGCCTCATTTTATTTTATCCACTCTAAATCTTGCAAGAATCACACACCATATGTGTGTTTTATGTACCTTATGTGCTGCATGTTTGTTAAAGCTTTAGCTGTACGAGTATTGGGATCCATATTTTCACTCCTGACTGACTTCTGATATCCTCACTTGTCTTCTACTTTCTGTTATGACACTGTGGGTGAAATACGCTATGATGCATAATGTAAAAGGCAGGGTGTCATGACATTTACTCACCTACATTTATTCTCTGAAGTAAAGCAACATTTTTTCTTTGATTCCATGGCAACTCCGGTGACCTTATTAAGTGTGTTCATCGGTTTTGCATTTCCATAAATAATGCAATTTAAAGAATATCAGATGTGACATGAGCTACAGCTGAAATACCCAGTGTTTGACCATGATACTGAGGTTTAAATGCATCCCTTTTGTTAGTGATGAGAGTTAAAATGACTGCAAAGGATTTATGTTACTGTGAGGCAGAGCGTTTAGGCAAAGGATAAAATGTTGTTTGTCAAGCTGAAATAGCGGGATCAAACATCATAGTTATAGGATTCATTAACATGGAAGTAACACAATATTTTTTTGTACTTTTTGGTAATCAATACATGTCTTTTTGTTTCTTTCAAAAATAACAGGCAACTTATTTTTGTGCTGACATTAAAATACATTATTAACTCATTCCAGTTACAGCTGTATTATTTAAATCAAAACAGGTAGAGAAACAATCAATATATTTTATGTGTGGGAGCTGAAGGGTCACCCACCAGATTACACGTTTTAAACTTTATTTTAAAGGAATAATTAAAAAATGTAAGTAAATGCATACATAAGTAAATATTCAATAACATTTTACAAGAGAAGCCTTTTCCATGTTTGCATTTGTTTAAATTTCAGTGGCGCCATCCTGTAATTCTGGATGAAAGTTTCTCATTTATTTCTTGAAGGAAATATTTTCCTAAAATGATTTTCAACATCTCCTGAAATAACTGTTTTCTGTAATCTTTTCCAATGCAACGTTGCTGAAACACGTTATCTATAAGACCAAACTTAACATTATTTCACAAGTGTTCACCAATGATTTGTGCAAAATATGTTAGCATTTTATACATGGCACTAATGGTATAAAGCCTTTTTTAATGTTTGACATTAAATTAATTGTTTCTACTTCAAGGCAGTTGGATTTCAAAGATGTATTTCTACTTGCTAAGTATCATAATAAAAAGTGATAGCTTTCTTTAAGTTGGAAAAAAAACATCTTTAGAAGTTTACATTAAATATGTGGCGAGACAGTGCAGTGTTTTGTTGATGTTGACATCATCTGTTGCATAAGTCAAAACGAGATATATTTCTGGAAGGCCACAGTGAACAAAAAGGGTTCAAATTGGTGCTAATATATTAAAGTGGCTGTTCTAAATTTTGCCTGACTAAATTGCCCGTAGGTGGTAAATCAATCAGAAACAACTTTACTGTGCATGAATTAAATCCCTCAGAGCTCTTAGATATCATGTCTCTCACTAAGCATTTCACTTCGTCAGATTTCCTCTAAAAAAACCTATTAGTTTTATTCTACAGAAGACTGAAAACAAGAGGATTAAATAACATTTGAAGGCCTGTGTTTTGTGCTTCAGTTATTAATTTTTCTGTATCATAGTTTTTCCTTCTTTTTTTTTTTAACAGTTTTTTAACCTTACTGCTTGGCATAACAAATTGTACTTATATTTTCTTATGTGAAACAATGTTCCATTGACAGCATTTTATCTATAACATTATGTCATGTTCACAGAGACTCATTAAAAGAAGCGTAATCATGCAAATAGATTCAATTATTGCTGCGAGTCTTGTGTTACTGACATGGCTAAACAATGGGTTTATTGAGCGATAGAGTTTCAGACAAGCATAGATTAGATGGCAGGTGTTGACAGGGAAGCTCTGTCACTTTGAATTTTGCAGTCTTTGAGCCTGAGTGTGTATGCGTCTATCAGACAGCATCCTGGACTGAAAATGAAAATACGTGACTTATGTATATGAGTCAAGCAAAGCGGGCGAGCCAATATTTGACCTTGAAGCTTTTAAAACAATGCAAAAGTGGAAAAGTGTAACACTTTTAAAAAATAACGAGGAGAGGAGCTTGTGCACAGACAGCCTTGGGGAGTCCAAATTTGCATTGTATAAAAAGTAGGTAGCATCTTGAATAACATAAATTGTTTGTGTTCCTTTGACAGGATTAATAGAAAGCTGCCACATTTATCTGATCAGGAGCAAAGACGCCACATTAGATGGGCCTGCTTGCTGCATAAAAGGTATTGAAATGCAACATTTCAGCAGGATGAAATCTCACATGGAAAGCATTGTAGTAATTGCCTAAAGAGGTTTATACGAATGGACCAAAGCATGCGCACACACGAACTGGCACACCCAAACACATAAATACATAGAGAGTGCCCTCAGACTCCAGAGACTTTTGGACTGAATCCACAATTCACTCAATACGTCGTGGAAGGGCTGAATGTTAACTGCCTTTCCTTTTACTGCAAAAAGGTTCACTGACAATAGATGGGCCTTGAGTTAAATATCAGAAAGGTCAAGATGTGGAAAGAGACTTTGTGAAATGTTGCGGCCTTGACAATTCAGAGCAGTTATATTCAGTCTCTAATCCTCAGGTGGCCACTTCTCTCTCCGCTTAGATTTGTTTCTTGCATTTAGTGTCTCGCTCTTCTTTTTCTCTCTCTGTATGACTGCCTTCCAGTCTGTCTGTCCTTCTCCATCTCTCGCAATCTGTCTGTCAGTGCAGAGGTTAAGGAACAGCTTGGGAAGGACACATGAGAGAGAATGATGGAGAATGCAGCTAAAAGGTTAAGGATGCTATATTCCCGCAGTAAAGGACAGCCAAAACTCACACTGCGTCACAGTCGATCCCAACAGAAAAGAAAAAAAAAAATCCTAATATGTATAAGAATGCAGCAGGAAACGAGCCAAATAATTGTCAAAGTTAGGCACACAAAAGGTTGCACACACAGGTTGAATTTTTAGTGAAGCGTAATTTGAAAATATGTAAGAGTCTTGTTTAGAAAATGTTTAATGTG